GTACCCCAGGGACGGGAGCGCCGGCGCCCGCGTAGGTGCTTGAGTATCCCGGCAAACGCAGCCCAAAGCCCAGAAGATGCGAGAGGTGCCCGCAGGACCCACGGGCAGGTTTGAGTCAGCAGAGCCTGCAGCGAAGCTTCTCGGTTCCTGCCTTCGTTTTCCTGCTCTTTGGAAGCCTGCGGAGCCTCTGGAGCTGCCTCCTCACCGGGAGAAGCAGGAAGGGGCTTGGAGTCGTTGCCGTTGCTCGGCGCTGGGTAGGAGCGGAGCGCTCGGAGCTGAGCTCTGTGAACTGGGCAGAAGGGGTGGGCCACGGGCTGGAGCTTGGGGATGAAGGAGCAAGCGGATGTGCAGAGACCTCCGTGGCTGCGATGCTGGGCTGAGCTCCCACAGCACTGAGCTCACAGTGCTGGGACTGGGTCTGGAAAGGTCCTGGGGGCTTGAAGCTGCTCTGGGTAGAGCCTCGGTGTGGCTGTGGCTGCAGGCAGGGGATGCTGTGGGGCTGAGCAGCAGGGCTTGAGGCAGGTCCTGTCCCCATGGGCTGCTGGAGGTGCTGAGCTGGATCCCACCAGCAGCAAGGTGAAGGGGACACCAGAGAGGTGGCTCTTGCAAAGCAACCAGCGAGGTGGGTGCAGGGAACGACCACCCTGGATGGGGAGGATGCACCGGAGCCACGGAGCGTGGAGACAGGGAGGGAGGAGCAGTGTCGGGTGCCCCATGCTCGGCTTTCTTTCTTTTTCCTGCCTTTTCTTGCCCTTCTTTGCCTTTTCTTTGCTCCAGGCCTGGCCAAAAGCCGCCAAACCCCAAGGGGGCAGCGAGGCGGGTGCGATGCTGCAGCCCGTGCAGCGCTCGGTGCACATCCTGCCCGCTCCTCAGGCAGCGCCCGGAGGCTCAGCACCTCCTGCCCTGCTCAGCGCTCCCGTGCCTGCTTTGGGAGGGAGGCATTCCGGAGGAAATGGAGTTTTGCTTTCATTATGTGGGGATGCGGGGGGGTGGTCCCATGGCAGGGGCAGGGGGCGATGCTCTGCAGGGCACGGCCCATTCCTGCCTGACGGGACCCCCCCTGCCCGCTGGGTGCTGCTGCCCGGGAGGTGTTTGCTAAGGGTGTGCTCGGAGCCAGCCCTGAGCTGCTCCCATGGGGCACCCGGAGCCGGGGGCTCCCTGCCCCGGTTGTGGCGTGGGCAGAGGAGCCCCGGGGGTGCCCCCCGCTCACCGCAGGGCTGGGCTTTGGCCTCCAGGCCCTTTGCACGGCCCCGGTGACGTGGCGCTGGCCGCAGGCTCCTTGCTCCTGCCGGGCTGTAAATAGACCTGAAGCATAGATCTGTGTGCCTAGAAATACATCTAATTTTGTACTTGTGCAGCTGGTGCAGAGCGCGCCTTGCTTTGCCTTCCCTTCGCTCGGGCAAGGAGCTGTAATGACGGGAAAAGGGGCTGCTGCAGCTCGGGGCGGGGGGGCTCCGGCCACGTCTTTCCCTGCTTTGCTGGAAATCCATGGGGAAGGGAAGCGATTGTTCGCTGCAGGATGAGAACCAGGGAAAGCGATTCCATACAAGGGAAATAGCGATGGAATGGGGGCATTCCCACCCTGCCCGGGCCCCACATTCCCGTCCTCTGCTCCTTGTCCAAGTGCTTTGCAGTGGGGCCGTGGCAAGCGGGGTGCTCGGGGCCATCGCCATGGGGTGCCCCCCGGTGCCCCCCTCCCTTTGTCCCGGCACCGTCAGCCTTGACGTCACCTCTGGCGTCACCGGTGTCCCCGGGGGGGCTGCTCCTCCCCGCCGGTCCCCGTGCCCCCCCCCCCGGGTTCAGGGACGTTCTGTTCCGTCCCAAGCTCTCTGTTTGTGCTCTCCAGGCTGGCACCGTTCCCAGCGCCAGGAATGCGCTTCCCGACCAGGCCACATTCCACAGGGAGGCTCCTGCAGGGGCAGGGTTTGCCTTTGCTCAGCACCAGGATGTGACCCGCAGCCACCTCTGCCCCGGGGCTGCTCACGTCTCGCTGCGGTGCCCTTTGCACGGGGTTGGTACCCGGAGGCCCCGGCACGTGGGCGCGGCGTGGCCGAGCCCAGGGCACAGGGAAACCCTCCCCTGCCTTCAGAGGAGGCACCGGGGGAGGTCCTGGGCTCCAGCCCCGGTTCCAGTGGCTCTGGATGGGCACCGAAAGGGCTGGAGCGGGGTCATGGAATGAACCAGGGTGGGAAAGAGCTTTAACATCATCGAACCCAGCTGTTAACCCCTGCACTGGGCAGCCTGCTCCAGTGGGGCAGGAATTGTCCCTCAGCTCCATCTAAACCTGCCCTGGTGCAGCTTGAGGCCGTTTCCTCCTGTCCCATCCCCTGGGATCAGAGACCGCCCCCCCGGCTCCATGCTCCTGTCAGGTCGGGAGCAGTCAGGTCCCCCCTGAGCCTTTGATTCCCATCCAACCCGGATTGGGGGCTGCAGCGGGGGTTGGCTCTGCCCCATAGGCACCCATAGCACCCATAGGCACCCATCGCATCCATAGCACCCATAGGCACCCATTGCATCCATAGGCACCCATCGCACCCATACTGCCCATTGCACCCATAGACACCCATAGTACCCATCGCATCCATAGCACCCATAGGCACCCATAGTACCCATCGCATCCATAGCATCCATAGGCACCCATAGTACCCATCGCATCCATAGCACCCATAGGCACCCATAGTACCCATGGCACCCATAGTACCCATAGCACCCATAGTACCCATAGGCACCCATAGCACCCATAGTACCCATTGCCCCCATAGACACCCATAGTACCCATCGCATCCATAGCACCCATAGGCACCCATAGTACCCATTGCACCCATAGACACCCATAGACACCCATAGTACCCATTGCCCCCATAGGCACCCATAGTACCCATAGCACCCATCGCATCCATAGCACCCATAGGCACACATAGCACCCATAGTACCCATTGCCCCCATAGGCACCCATAGTACCCATCGCATCCATAGCACCCATAGGCACCCATAGCACCCATAGTACCCATTGCCCCCATAGGCACCCATAGTACCCATAGCACCCATAGTACCCATCGCATCCATAGCACCCATAGGCACCCATCGCACCCATCGCATCCATGGCACCCATAGCACCCATAGCACCCATAGTACCCATCGCACCCATAGCACCCATAGTACCCATGGCACCCATAGCACCCATAGTACCCATTGCCCGCATAGGCACCCATTGCCCCCATAGGCACCCATCGCATCCATAGCACCCATAGTACCCATAGCACCCATAGGCACCCATAGTACCCATAGCACCCATTGCCCCCATAGGCACCCATCGCATCCATAGCACCCATAGTACCCATGGCACCCATAGACACCCATAGTACCCATCGCATCCATAGCACCCATAGGCACCCATAGCACCCATAGTACCCATTGCCCCCATAGGCACCCACCGACCCCCGCCCCGCGCCGCCCGTCCCTGCCCCGCACAGCGCCCCCCGCGGGCCGGAAGCGCTCCCGGAAGCGGAACCGGCGCTGCCGGTGCCCGGTCCCCGCCCCGCGGCGCCGCGTCACGGCCGCCATATAGAGTGGAGCGGGCGGCGGCGCGGGCGTTGTGCGGGGCCGCCATGTTCGCGCTGCAGCGGAACGCGGTCATCGGCCTGCACCTCTACTGCGGGGGCAGCCCGGCCCCGCCGCCGCCGCCCTCGGCGGGGGCCTGGCCCGCGGGCTGCTCCGAGGCGCTGCTGGGCTGCGGCCCGGGCCCGGTGCCGGTCCCGCTGCGGAGCCCCGAGGAGGAGCTGGACGGCTTCGAGCCGGAGCCCGAGCGCGGCCCCGCGGCGGCCCCGCCGCTGCCCGGCGGCGCCCCGGACGCCCTGCGCCAGGCCTCGCTGGAGCTCATCGGCCGCTACCTGCGGGAGGCGGCGGGCGAGGCCCGGCCCGGCCCCAAGAAGCTGTTCCCGGGGCTGCGGGCCGGGCCCGGGCGGCCCCGCGGCGCGGATGCGGGGCTGGAGAAGGCGCTGGAGACGCTGCGGAGGCTCGGGGACAGCGTCCTGCGGAAGCACGAGCTCGCCTTCCAGGGTGCGTGCGGGCCGGGGGAGGCCGCGCCTGGAGCACGGGGGGGGCCCGGGGCCGGAGCCGCTGTGGGAGCGGTCACCGCTCAGCGCCGAGCCTGGCCCGGCCCCGGCCCCCTCCGTGGGGCTGGAGCGGGGGGGTCAGACGGGAAGGGAAGGCTCCGGGGGGACCTGATCGCTCCCGACTGACGGGAGGATGGAGCCGGGGGAGGGCTCGGCTCCCAGGGGATGGGGCGGGAGGGAACGGCCTCAGGCTGCACCAGGGGAGGTTGAGATGGAGCTGGGGAGCAATTCCTGCCCCATTGGAACAGGCTGCACCAGGGGAGGTTGAGGTGGAGCTGGGGAGCAATTCCTGCCCCGTTGGAACAGCCTGCACCAGGGGAGGTTGAGGTGGAGCTGGGGAGCAATTCCTGCCCCACTGGAACAGGCTGCCCAGGGGAGGTTGAGATGGAGCTGGGGAGCAATTCCTGCCCCATTGGAACAGGCTGCACCAGGGGAGGTTGAGGTGGAGCTGGGGAGCAATTCCTGCCCCATTGGAACAGGCGGCCCAGGGCAGGGCTGCGGGCACCGGCCCTGGAGGTGCTCACACCCCCTCAGTGCCGTGGGGCAGCGCTGGGTGAAGGTTGGGTTTGGTGATGCCAAAGGTTGGGTTTGGTGATGCCAAAGGTTGGGTTTGGTGATGCCAAAGGTTGGGTTTGGTGATGCCAAAGGTTGGGTTTGGTGATGCCAAAGGTTGGGTTTGGTGATGCCAAAGGTTGGGTTTGGTGATGCCAAAGGTTGGGTTTGGTGATGCCAAAGGTTGGGTTTGGTGATGTTAAAGGTTGGGTTTGATGTTGTTAAAGGTTGGGTTTGGTGACGTCAAAGGTTGGGTTTGATGATGTCAAAGGTTGGGTTTGGTGACGTTAAAGGTTGGGTTTGATGTTGTTAAAGTTTGGGTTTGGTAACATTAAAGGTTGGGTTTGGCGATGTTAAAGGTTGAGTTTGATGGTATTAAAGATTTGGCTTGGTGATGTTAAAGGTTGGGTTCGGTGATGTCAAAGGTTGGGTTCGGTGATGTCAAAGGTTGGGTTCGGTGATGTCAAAGGTTGGGTTCGGTGATGTCAAAGGTTGGGTTCGGTGATGTCAAAGGTTGGGTTCGGTGATGTCAAAGGTTGGGTTCGGTGATGTCAAAGGTTGGGTTCGGTGATGTTAAAGGTTGGGTTCGATGATGTTAAAGGTTGGGTTCGGTGATGTCAAAGGTTGGGTTCGGTGATGTCAAAGGTTGGGTTCAAAGGTTGGGTTCGGTGATGTTAAAGGTTGGGTTCGATGATGTCAAAGGTTGGGTTCGGTGATGTTAAAGCTCTTTCCACCCCGGTTGGTTCTGGGGCTGAGCCCCGGGGGATGTGCTCCAGTTGTGGCTCTTTTCCCGTAACCACTCGCTTGTGATGAGCCCTGCAGTAGCCCAGTCCCTTTAGTGACCATTGAGCCCAGCCAGGGCTCGAGTCCCGTCCCCTCTGCAGCGCCCTGGGGCCAGCCTGGAAGTGGGAACGGAGCCGGTGGCTCGGTTTCGTGTGGCTCGGAAAGGAGCTGGTTTGGAGCTGAGCTCCCAGCGGGGGGGGGGGGGTGCCAGGGCTGCTTTCAGCCCCCAGCTCCAGGTGGGAGAAACCCGTCCTTGTTCCAGGAACGCTCCCAGCCCTGTTTTGAACGCGGAAGGGTTTCGGTTTCGCCCTCTTGCCCCGGGCGGTGGTGGTGCAGAGGCCGTGGTTCCGTAACCGCGGCCAGATCCAAGGAATGGGGAATGCTCGGAGCAGGGCTGGTGCTGGTGGGAGCCTTCTGTGGGGCTCAAGGGGGTGCAGGAAAGGACCTGGCTTCAGGGTTAGGGTTAGGGGGCATTGCAGGCCTGTGTGCTTCCAGTTCCTAGTCCCACAGCAGTAACTGGTGACATGTCCTTGGGTGCGCGCTCACTGCTCTGCCGGGGCTGTAATCCCTTGGGGGACCCAGGAAGGGGCCAGGGGCTGGTTTCTTGCTCCCCATGGCTGCTCCCGGAGCTGGCAGTGGGGTCCCTGTGCCTCTAAAGCAGCGCCTCTTGCAGGGATGCTTCGGAAGCTGGAAATCCAGAAGGAGGAGGACCTGCAGGCGGTGCGGGACGTGGCCGCGCGCCTCTTCAGCGACGGGCTGACCAACTGGGGCCGCGTGGTGACGCTCATCTCCTTCGGGGCCTTCGTCGCCCGGCACCTGAAGAGCATCCAGCAGGAGAAGAGCATCGGCTCCCTGGCAGGGATCATCACGGACGCGCTGCTCTCCTCCAGCCGCGAGTGGATGCTGAGCCAGGGAGGTTGGGTGAGTCCTGCCTGGGCCCTGCTCGCTGGCACCCCCGCACCCCGCTCAGGCACCCAGCCCCGGTGCTGGCGCCCCAGGGGCTCCTGACTCAGCCTTGACCTAAGCGTGGGGAGGGCGGCGTGCCCAGAGCTGAGTCAGCCCTGGCTGTGCTGAGCTGGCTCCGGACCGGTCCCCACGGCTGCCTCCTCCGTGGGGCGGGATGCGGATGCGGGGAGCACATTGGGATGTGCTGCGGGGGCTGGACCCAGCCCCTCTGTGCCGGGGGTGAAGGCTCCCGGTGCCTTCCTGCTGCAGAGGGGGGGCTGGCAGGGACCTGACCTCCCCTTCTCCCCCCTATAGGAGGGCTTCGTGGAGTTCTTCCACGTGGAGGACCTGGAAGG